GTGTAGGTTGGTTTCATTGTACGGAACATAAGCGCTCGCGCCGCGGACGCGGCGTTGCACGCCCTAGCGGGCCGTTTATTCGTGGGCATTGTGGGTGCCCAGTTCGGTCATGGATCTGTAGTCAGGGCGCTCTTGCCAGCCGTGGGGCCATGCGCGCTCTGATGTGAGGGGGAGCACCGCTGCGCACAGTCTCCCCATCTGCGTGATCCGGTCGCCGATTCCTGTGGGTTGATGTGTAGGGCCGGTGTCCCGGACGTACTGTCTCCAGCTTTCCAGCGCCTCGCATTCTTCGAGTATGTGGCCCGGTGTCAACGGGGTCCCGCAGTAGTCGCAGTGCAACTCGTTACCGAAGGATCTACTCTGACTTCCACTGACCGTGGACAACCAGAGGCGTTGAACCAGCCTCGCGCCACGGAGATATTTGGTGACGCCCCAGACGAAGTCGCGCGACCAGTGTCTGGCCGCCCAGTCTCGCCCACTGATGCTCCTGGTTAGCCCCAGGGACAGGATCCCCACCTCTTCTTGTGCTTCTATTTCCCGCAATAGGAGCTGCTTCACCGCTGCGTGGGTGACGGGGAGGGACGGGAGTTCCCGCATGTCCACTATCCGGGCAGCAGGGGCCACGAGCCCCAGCAACGTATCTATGAACTCGTTGCCCGCGACGCCCGTATGGGCGTATACGTGGGTGACGAGTGCTTCGGCTGCGGGGATGCGGTCCAGGGCGGTGAGGACCGTGCACAGTTGGGGTTCGAGCCGGTTTCCACTCGCCGCCGCGGTCATCCACCCCCTGCAGTCCCCAACCAGTCTCGCACGGGTGGCGTGGACGCCCGCCAACTGCTGTGCCCCTACCTGGGCTCCCCCTGTTTCCCCGGGGTACGCGGACGGCCCGATGCCATACAGATGTATTTCCACCGCCTGTAGAGCGTTTTGCGCGAATAGAACCGAGCCCCCGAGGATGCGGCCGTGCCTGCGGCGGTCCCCATCTATGACCGCCCCCACGAGGGAACCATCACAGAAGGACACAGCTGCCCCCTGTTCAAGCTCTTGGCGGAAGCGGTCGTTCTGCCAGGCCGCGTCCGGTTGGGTCGCGTCCTCATCGAACGGCGCCGCCCAGCGCTCGTTCGCAGGCGCTGTGTTTGCATCCCTTGTCGGGTAGCTCTCGCCCGGGTTGATTTCCCACCTGATCTCTCGGGAGAGGCGAGGTCGCGGGCTGTAGGCTTCGCGGTGGGCGTTGCTCACGCCGATGGCTTCCAAAACCCGGTGGGCTTGGTCACCCGCGCGTCTCCCGGCCCAGGTGGCGCGCTGGGTTTCGCGCAAGTCGATAGCGTTGTATTCCCACAGGGGGCGCCCTTCCACCCGGGTTGCACGGGTGCCGGTGTGGATCACATACCGCAGTACGAAGTTGCCACCTAGTGTTTGTGGCAGGCTGGGGAAGCGGCTGAGCGCCTCGACAACGTCTGCTCGGGATGGCAGGGTGTTGCACCGCCATGGCGCGGACCCACGCGCCCCCGGCGCGCCTGCTTCTGCTGCGATGCCACTTTGTAATGCCGTGGTGGCCGGGAGTGCTTGGCCTTCGCGCGCGAACCTATCGAACCAGAGCGCCACCTCGATGGTTGCCAGGGTGTGCGCGTTGAACAGGCACGCGGAGGCCAGGAGGACTTCTATCCGGGTGTGTTGTAGGGCCCCCGTGATGAGTCGCGCGCCCTTATGTAGGATGCGCGTGTCAAGCCGCTTCATCGCCTGCTCGGGGAGGTAGGGCCCCAGCACCGAGAGTGTGAACCGAACGAGGGAACCCACAAGCCCGAGGTATAGTGCGCGCAGAGTCACGGTGTCAGCTTTGTGCCGGTACCTCCTTATGAGTGCGAGGCGCTTGGTGCTCTTGTCCACCAGT